TTTTATTTAACTTGAGACCGTGAAATATCTCAAGAAATATGCATCAAACGAAAAAAAATGTTTGATACAAACCCTCAGTATTTTAAAGAAGGCAGTTCAATCCCACAAAATTTAGTCCCTCCGGCCGCCCCCTGGGGTGGGGCGAGGCACAACTTTGTAAATTCAAATGGAAACTCCCATTTTTCATAGCAGATTCTTATTCTACGTCAAAAATTATGTAAGGTTTATCTGAAACATTTTTCGAATCGATTAGTTAAGTTTTTACCACGTTTTATTGCATAATGATTCTTGACAGGAAGAAAAATAACTTCTTATGGTCAAAGATGGTTTTTGAATCATCGTAGATGGTGCTGCAATCGGCCACCCCGAATGTGAGAGGCATTCATTTTTATTTACTATGTACTGTCAAGTACATTCCTGGCCCCGCATGGAGCATTACCAGATTGTGAGAGGCAAGGGGACACTTTCCTTCAAAAGTAGAATCGTTCTGCTGTAAAACACGTGGGTTCCCCGTGAAGAATAAAGAAGCTCATAACTTTCGCTGATTGCAACGTCATCTACAATGATTCAAAAACCGTGTTCAACCAGCAGAGTTACTTTCCTTCCAGTCAAGAATCATTATACAAAACGTGGATTTTCCCTTAGCTAATTTTTATCGATTCCTCGTCATTTACCACGATTCGAAAACATGTTTCAGACAAACCTTACATAATTTTTGACGTAGAACGAGTTCACATTTGAATTTATAGTTTCCCACGTCCTACTACCCAGGAAGTTGCGGGAGGGAATAAATTTTGCGGGGGTTGAACTGCCCCCTCCAAAATACTAAGGGTTTCTATCAAACATTTTTTCGTACGATTTGTATTTCTCGAGATATTTCAGTCTCAAGTTAAATGAAATACCCTGTAGTTCTGCTATTTGGTGCATTTTATTTGGGTTGCAAGTATTGTGTGGTGTCAGTTAAATAAAAGAAATTTAAAACGTTTTCCTCATTAATTAAAATTTATTTCCTATTGTTAATTTTAAAGCTTTTCTAATGCACACAGAAATGAGTAAGCGCGTACTTACGCGAAGCTTTCGAGTTAACCAAAAACCTTAATAAATAAAAAGCAAAATGCTTCGTCAAAGTACAAGTTTAAGCAACGAGCTTAAGTTTCTTTTACGCTCAAAATGGCGACTTCCTGCTTTTCTTGATTCCAGGGGCTACCGCTCCAGTCTTATATCTCCGTGGTGAAGAGCTTGCATGGGGTCCGGAGGTAGGCCGGGTCCCTTTTGCGATTTTTTTTGGAAGAAATTAAATATGTAAAACGCTTCTTTATTAATTAATAAAAAGCGGTCTTAAAGATTTTATTTTCTGTTAGTAAAAATAACATTAATTTCATAAGGATAGGAACCACTATGGGCTCCTAACTCTATGTTTTCTCCAGGTCTGGGGGAAAATCCCTAGCGCTTTCATCATCTCTCTAGAAGCAAAATTATCACGAAAGCAGATATCACATCTTTATAGGACAAACATTAAAATTTATACGAAATATAAAACATTATATTACACACTTCAAAAATATAGGGTAGGTACACACACTGTTTATATTTTCTATATTATAAGCATTATGAAAAATTTTAGGAGACAATTCCTTTCCAGATATTTAATCAAACACATACAAACATTTTCCTTGACTCTAGATCAGTGTTGTCCAACCGAAATTGTTTACTGGGCCAAAACCAAAAATAAAAATACACAGTGGGCCGCACATATTTATTTACAACAAAACATACAATTATACAGTATTTTGTATGTATTTTAATTAATGTGAAACTTGCTTTTCAATTTTTTCACTTAATTTTTTAATGTCAAGAGGTATTTTTGATGTTGTACAACATAATTGGTTTTTTTTTAAATTTTTATCGGTCAGTCTATTACGACTTTTACATTTAAATACATACATAGGCCTACACAGTATGTACTGTACTGTACCTACATACATATGTAATACATTTGAAGCTTTGTTAAAAAATATTTAATACTGTTTTAATTTCTAATTGTACAGTCGACCCCCCTTTAACACCGGATTAAACGGATTATTCCGTTTTATATGAATTCCATGTTGTACGAGTCATTTAGATTTTACAAATACGTGAGCCGTTTACAGCCCGGCACACGTATTTGTAAAATGTAAGTGACTCGTACAACATGGAATTCATATAAAACGGAATAATCAACAGTGTTATGGGGGGGTCGACTGTACGTGATAAGGTGTTATACATCATATTAAGGTATTTAACTATACATGTGATATTTCATTGAAATAAAAATCTATACAAGATAATTATTATTTTAAAAGGGCCACACAAAAACATCGCATAGGCCGCTGGTTGGACATCGCTGCTCTAGATAACAAACAAATTATCGAACATTATATTTTTTCATCTTTTAACTTATTACTACAAACTTAAACCATTGTACTGTACTGGGGTCATTAACAACGATTACCGGAAGAATGAATGTGCTTATTAGCTTATGAGACGACTTCGCTAGCAGAAATTTCATTGTCTGTTTAATAAATATAAAGCAAAAATAATGAGTTAGGTGTTTTTTTGTATTATTCCGCTATAATGCAATTCTTAACAAAAATTTCAAAATTTTTTTAAAAGTTAACCGATAAAGAAATTTTTAATTAATTTCAATTTTTAAATTAAATGAGGACTTAAAGATTGTAACTTAAAATATAACGGAAAGTAGGATTTAAACACCAGGAATTATGATTTGTAATATTAATTATTTTTAAAATATTTTCTCCCTTTGGGCACTGTAGGCCTTTTTCATGCCATTCGCCAAGTCCACAGTGGAGTTATTGAATGGTGACGATTTTTTAGTTTAGTTTGATGAGATAAAGCAGCAATAACACTTGGGCGATCTGCTAAGGGGGTGCTTCCCAGGAGGACTTTCTATGGGAAGCTGCCCCATTTATGTTTATATATAAAAAAAGATTCTTAAAGATTGCGTCGTAACGAAGTTAAATACAATGTTACTCACCCTTAAACGTTACTTCTTTTAGTTTGAAATGTAATTAATTAAGTAAAAAGTTGGAAAAATACATTAGCACAATGAAGTCTCTGCTTGAAAAACGATATAATGAATATTTTCTATCAATAGTTAATCAATCTAGAAAACAGTTTCGTTACGAACATTTGAAAATATAACATCATAATCATTATTTTCGGCCTAATTTTGTCACAATGTTGAAACCTACAGCTGCCATACGGCAAATAATGTCCTCAAAATTCACGTCAATAAACACGTGGTTAAATTATCTAACAATTCTACGTGTGTGTTGATTTTTCTTAAACTAAGTTTTCAAAATATATTTTAAATTCAAAACTAAAATAATAATAACTGTTATTATAAGGGGATGCCAATAAATTACGTCCATATTTTTGTTGAAATTTTTACTCCTCCTTCCCTCTTCGGACGTCCATTGAAGTTCAACCCCTCCTTTCCCCCTTGTCTGCCTTTGTCCAACTTGTCATAACACCTCCCCCTTCCAGTATGGAAGTCTGTTATGGATAGCCCTGTCATGAACGTTCGCAATTAGAAAATGTTTAGTCATAAAAACGTTAATTTAAAACATTCTGTTAAATATTTATATTCAATCAAATGAAAGTAAACAGTATGAAATTACTTTAGACGAAATTTCTTTATCTGTTTTCCATTTAATTTTTAAAAATGAAAGATAATCAATAGAAAAATACTGTGCCAAATTTCTCTTTATTAAAAAGTCATTAAAATAGTTATCCATTTCAAATTTATATTACTAATCACCAAACAATATTTTATATTTATAATTTTATTTAAATTTTTTATATTTGAAATTAGTATTAATTATCTTCTGCATGATATTACCTAATTTCTGAATTTAGCTGAGAGATTTTTAAAGAATTTCTTCTTTATATTAAGGTTGTTTGCTTCATATATAATTTATTTAATAAACTTACATTCTAAAAATATTTAGTTTTTTCATCCTTCACAAATGAACTTTCTCAAATTACTCCTAACTCCACTAATTTACTCTACATTCCTGGATATGAACAATAATTTTCTACATATTTCTAAATTGTTAGTTTTAAAATTCATAAAGTAATTTAACCAAATAGAAAATTATAGGCTGGTAATGAAATACCTGCACAAAACTTTTAATATTGCCTCATTTTTTTCAAAAATCTCAACAGTTTGTTAAAAAAATCCTAATTAGTAATATAATTTATAAGAACAATACTTGCTCGTTTTTAGTGAATATGAAATGAGAGAAATATTAAGCAAGTAAATATTTTCCATTTATTTATATAATGTGACAAATACAAAATCTCCAAAAATAATGGAATAATAAATATGACATTAATGTATAATCCAAACTTACAAAATTGTATAAAACACTTTTGTTATTATATTATTTATCAATGAAACTGATATTACTGATTACAATATGATTATTTTGATGTTAAAATTGTCAGATTTTCAGCTTACAAGATTACATGTCTGTAATTGATAGTACTTTAATATTGGAATGAAATTATCAATATGTTTTTATTTCTTAATATTGAAATTAAATTAAATGAGTTAAATAAAATATGTAGAAAATATAATTTTAATTATAGTAATTAATAGAACACATTATTTTGATGCAGTAAAATCAATGTATTCAAAACTTTGTGAAATTAATATAATAAATATAAATACAACTTTTTTACAAAGAAAAATTCTTTGTTTCAGTCATTTTTTCGTTGTTCACACCATCAACAATGAAAAAATGACTGAAACAAAGAATTTTTCTTTGTAAAAAAGTTGTATTTATATTTATTATTTTAATATTAAATAATCGTTGGCAATGTAAAATTATTACTTTTTATTTATGAAATTGTTCTTGCAGTCCATTTCACAATATTAAAATAAAATCAAAATTACCAACTCTTTTAGATTTCTCATTCTTATTTTATTTTTTCAGATAACAATTTGAGCCATTATGGTAAAAAATAATTGAGGGGATGATTGGTGAACAAGATATAACCTGTGATTCACTGAAGGTATCTTGCATAGTAAGGTCTCCGAGCCACGAGTCGTTTGCTACAGATTTGTCACTGATGTCTTTATCAAGTTTGGGCTCAGATTTAGGTTTAGTCAAGGAAAAGAGTATAAGAAATGGTGGAGAAGGAGAAAACTTGAGAAGAAGTCCCAGAATGATGGAAGGAGGAATAGGAGGATGGGCTTCAACTAAAGGAAGTAAAATTTTTAAGGGAAACTTCCTTCAGGTACCATCAGAATATGGAGATAAAAACTGGCATAAGGGACATGAGACATTATTTGAAGAAGAATCAGAAGTAATTAAAAATTGTGGTGCTTTATCATCTGTCCTTGGATTAATGAAGAGTTTTAGTACTAGTGATATTGTAAACTGTTCTTTAAATGAGAGTGAAAATCTTAGACTGACTGTATCAGAAATAGCTCTGTGTAGTTGGAGTAGATATCAATTACCACATGGAAAATTAGAATATGCATCTAGATCTTGTTCTACATGGGTTGCTGTTGGAGACATGAATTCAATTTCCCAATTACCTTCTCCACAAACCCAACCTGGTTCCATAGGAGAATCACCAGCTATCACAGCAGCTGAATTAATCAGGTCAGTTAATAAAAAAGTCCGTCAATTGTATATAAAAAGAAGAGTTCTTTCTACATACAAAGCTCTAGAAAGACTCACTCAAAGCCAATTGAGTTTGGATTCAGCCTCACATCCGACACTTCCAAATGTTCCTCAGGTACAGATTTCCACTGAATTAGACACTAGCATCCGCAACGAAGTTGATATTGCATCAATTGGATTCAAAGGCAATGCTAAAACTTTAACATTGACTGTAAAGGATATAGAAAGACAAAGAGGAAAACCACTTTCCAAATATCAAAGAAATATGATGATTTTTAATTGGTTACAGAGTTTGGATGAAAATGCATTTGACAAATTGTCATAAATTTATTACAATACAAAGGAAAACAATTTACAATTTGATATTGTAATGTAATGATAGCTATAATTAATAACTCTCCAGATTTTATCTAACATCTTTATTCATAAAGTGAGAATGTGACATTTCAATAATACATATTTATAGAAACTATAATATCATTGTAATGTTTTCATAAATATAAATTTATAGTTGAATTACTTAAGCAGTAATCTGCAGAATATATGAATTGGCAGTGACCAATAAAATGTCCAAATTTTAAATTGGACTTATTCATATATCATATTCAATTTGATACATAATTAATGGTGGATTTTAAGAGATTGACTGAATATAATTATCTAAGGTTATTGTTTAAGTATGTCATGTATCTAAGAATATTGTTTAAGTAATCAGACTATAAAGTAAGTATTTGAAATGATTAAAGTCAATTGTTGATTATTCAAGGCTAGAGTTATGTCAAAGTATATCGATTATCCCAAATTTCCAATTCAAATCATCAAAAGTACCAAATACAAACATGCTCAAAATACATGAATCAGATATATTAAATAATTAAGTAAATTATTTTCTGATAATGTAAATCACTACTGCTTTCACCAAGCATTTAATATAGAAAAAATTATATTTAAGTCCATGAATCCATAAAATGCCCATAACTGATAAGGAGTTAGTTCAATCATAATTATACATTAAACATTTATTATAAAACAATATTTTAATAAAATTTTGAATTTAAAAAAATTTTAAACTAGTATTAATAAAGCAAAATTTATAAAAAATGAAATTCAGTTTTTATGAAAAGTTTTATTAATAAATTATAAAAAATTAATTACATCAGAAAATTAAGTTTTGTTTGTTAAATTTTTATGACTATAAACAAAAATCCTTTTTTAGAATTGTATTGGTTTTTTATCATGATTTAGGCAAGTCTGTAATCAGTTTTCTAAGAGTTCTTTATAAAAAGTATTAAAATTTTAATAAAATAAATATTTTAATCAAAGTTATTGCAAAATTGTTTTATTATTTTCAGTAAATGAATTTAATATTGAAGAAAAATGATGTTTAGTGCAAGAGTAATCAATTTAATAGAATTTTGTAGTTTTGGGAATTAGTTCATTTTTATACATTTTGGTACAAACAGGATTTTAAGAAGTTAGATATTACTTTTAGAAGTCACGTGCTCATAATATCAAGTTATAAGCACATATTTTACATCAATGAATGAAATCATTCATTCATGTAAAATTAGAATGAATACTGAAGAGGCAATACTCACAAAAATATATCAATAATAATTTATATATTTAAGTTAAACCATTTTAACATCAATTGTAAAAATTTTTAATTAAAATCTGTAATGACAGATTTGATAAATTTTTCTTATATAATTTTAGTTTTTAAACATTATTTTTAATTCTTAGGAAAAATTTAGTCTTTCATTGTAAACTGAATCACAATATCATCAATTTATTCATATTATTTCCAGAGAAAAATAAGTTTTGCTATACAAAATCATTTGCAATTAGTTACATGATAGCAATATTGTCATAAAAAATTACTTATTGAAGATTTCCTGCTAATATGTTTTTGCATTATTTATGTAAAAAAAAAACTTCATCAGATACAACAAAGTATCTGATCATTTGTAAACAAAATTCATTTACAGAACATTTTCAAAAATATTATTATTTTCTGAAGTAAATAAAATGAAATTTGTAAATTTTCTATTTAAGAACTCTCTCTGAAGTTAATTAAACTTCAGAGAGAGTTCTTAAATAGAAAATTTGTTGTATCTGATAGAAGTTTTTATGTTAATAACAAAAAAATTATAAAAAAATCATTTCAGTTTGTGGTGAATAATTTTATTTTAAAGATATTACTGAAATAAAAATAACTGATTATTTTTTATATTATGTTAATATTTATCAATAAAATATTGTAAAATTAAAAGAAAATCAAAACTGTATTAATTTTTTAAATATCTAGACTTTATAAAGAAAGAAAAAAAAACATTTTGAATTCCCAAAACATGTCTAATGATTCCAAAATGAACATTTTAATTAATAAATGCTAATTTGCTGTTGAATATTTAAATTGTAAGAATTTATTTTCATTAATAATTTAAATATTGCTTAGTTTAAAATTTATTTATTGAAAAACTTTTATCAGAGTTTGATACTTCCATACTTTTTAGGTAATTTTAATTCTACATTTTTTATTGTTGTAAGAAATATAAATTTATTAAATTCAAATTTAAATCTATATGAAATTTATGAATTGTTTTAGAAAAATTTTAATATTGAAGAAATTTGTATTTCATTTAAATATTTAATTTTAATATGTTTTGCTATTACATATCTAGTACATTTTAATAAAATATTGTAAATGAAATAATCAATTGTACTTAATGTATGATTTCAATGTTTTTCAGAGTTGTTATAAATGTTGTTATAATGTGTTGTTTTTCTGAATGCTAAATTAAACCATGATTATATTATATTTTTGTTTTATAATTTTTAATATCTGACATGTGCTTAACTGCAGTTATATTCTATTTAATATCATAAAAGCAAACTATAATGATTTAGAAAATATAAACATTTAATTAATAATTCAATGATTTGTTAGATTTAAAACAAAAGAAGTAACAGAAAATTAAAAATAACTTCAGTAAAAATAATATAAACTTTAGATATTGACAGATCTAAGTGATCTGTCAGATGATCTGCATATGCTAAAGGCTTACTATTAAGTTTCAGTAAATATTACGGATTTGAGTGATCTAATTTAATCAGCCATATTATGCATTACATTTCTTTATTAATAAAAATTAAGATATAGCACTGCTAATTATGACTATTTCAAAAACAAATACTTATTTTTAATCAATAACTTAAAAAAAAATACTCTAAATGAAAGAAACAGATGAGGTTTTCTTAAAACAAAATACCACTTTCATAAAATTTAATAATTTTTTTTCATTTACTTAATAACTATGCTTATTAAATTCATTTATTTTAAAATTATCCTACATTTTATTTTAATTAAATCAAATAATGAGAAATATTATTTAAATGTTTATTCTTAATAAAGTTACTAAAAATAAGAATTTAAAGAAATACAAAATTAAGCATAATTGTATACATTACATTTAAAAAATAATAATAATACAGTATACTAAATATGGAATAATAAAATTCTATTTATTAATTTATAAAAATACTTAACAGAATATTTGGCAGTTTATGACAATTAATTGTACAATCTTTGGATAAATAAATAAATAAATAAAATTCTTATTCTTATATGGGCTTAAAAGACTAGAAAACTTCAATCAGAAAAAGCTAAACTAATTTACTGAAAAGTACATACAAGTTTAAATCTATCATTTAAATTTTATTTTATGAAAATGTAATACTTATAGTAACAGAAATTTTATAATTAAATCAGAAAAATTTTAAATGGATAATAAACTTCACATTTTCAAAGAATAAGTATATCTTAAAAATATATTATAACATCTAATACAGTATTTGTATTCAAATGTATTATTCAAAAATCTCATAACTGTGAACAAAATAAAATAAAACATTAAAACTTTTAGATGTTCTTATTCACTTTCCATAGATTGAAAATAAGCTGTTTTAATATTTGATAATTTATTTTTAATGAAGCATTATCTCATTAATTACTATATATTATTTACACTTAATTATATATACTAAATAAAGTTTTTATTTTAATAAATATATAATTAGTTTCAATATTTATTTAAAAAAAAAATAATAAAGTTATATTATTTTTTCAATGTATAATAAAATCATTTTCTTCTTATTACGATGTTCTGTACTCTATGCAATGCAGTTCTTCTATCAGTTAATCATCAATGTTCATTTAAGATTTTCCTGATTATTCTAAAAAAAAAAAAAAATAACGGTTATTAAATTATTTTTAAAAATTTCAAATTTTCTTTAGTTAATATTGATTTCATATGAATATTATATATATAAAGAAATAGTTAATTTGCATTTTTATATCATGTACAATACAATTTTTAATATTCAAGTGTAATATAAAAATTCCTTGCCAATTTAAAGTTTTTCAAAAATGAATAATTTTATTTGAAAATATTTTTTTTATTCTTGATATGTTAACTTTCCAAACTACCAATATTAATATTAAAATTAGTTATAAAAATTTTATAATAGTTCTAAACTGTTTTCATTAAAATTAGTAAACTTATTAGAAACAAAAAATTTATATATCTATATATATAATCGAGACGAGTTGATAATAATAATAAGCACAGAGCCCAAACGGTTAAGAGTTGGAAGCTGAAATTTAGTACACAGTTACGGTACGTCACGAAAACGCACACTAAGAAGGGATTTTTCGAAATGCCCCCCTGGGGGAGAGGGACAGGATTAAGCTTAACACTTCCATCAACAATAGAAGTGTTAAGTAAGTAACAATGAAAGTGTTAACAATGGAAGTGTCAACAATGGACGTGTTACGTAACAATGGAATTGTTAAGAGAAAGCAACATTTTAAGAGAAAGTGCAGTTGGTTTTCGTTTTTGAAGATATTTTTAGACCCATGTAAAATTTCTCTAATTAGTCTGGAAACGGAGGATCCAATTCTTGCATTCTGTGAAAACGGGTAAGGTTGACTATAACGTAATAATCTTAATATTCACTATCATTACTTTTGCCCAAGCAATGCCGGGCCCACCTGCTAGTATATATATAATAATAATATATACATGTACACTATCATCAAATAATTAGTTTTCATTTAAACAATTTAACTAATTTGAAATAATAAATTAAAATGTGAAAAAAATATGAAAGCAAGAAAGAAAGAGAAAATCAACAAAATAAAACAGTTATCCCTCTAACAACATTGTTTGAGAATTTAGGAAATCCCACAAATAACAGTGTTCTTAGAACATAGTTTCACTCTAACACAGTTTGAGAATTGGAGACAGCCCTGTACAAAATGTCATAATTTTTAAGTGCAAATACCATCATTCAATATTTTTTTATTCAAGTAAGCATGCATGTTGCTTCATAATTGCCCATGGTTTTTAAAATGTTGAAATTTTTAATGTTGTTTTGCACGTTTTGTCCTGTTTTCTGTAATGAGAACTGATTGTACAACTTTTCCTCTTTCTTGTCCTAGCTTTCCTTTAAACTAGGTATCACTGATGTTGGAAATAGTGCTCTAAATAAACCGAAAATACTGACACTGTGTTTTGTTTTTATAGATTAAATTAAAAGTTACTACAAAAAAAAAAAATTAAATTTTTAAAGATCTCTTAGGCAAACACATGCAAATGAAAATGAAAAAAGTAGAGAAAAATTAAGATGTTGCTGATACTTCAGATTAAGGTCAACATGAAAGCTCAGATGAAAGCTTATGATATTTCGTCAAAAAGAAAATGTCCTCGTTTAACAGTTTTTAGCAGTGAAGGAAAATTAATATATACATGCAAATATATACATAATTTTGATTGTGATTATTAATTAATTATTGACTGCTTTAATAAACATATTTCTCTTAATTACAAAAAAGAATAGTATACTTTTGATATAAGGAAGAAAGTGTATACGTAGTCTTTCTTCCTTATAATATATTTGGCATCTTACGTGAGCTTATAAAGTTTTACAATTTATACTTTTGATAACTTTTGAAACCTAACCCTATGTTTTGTATTAGTCCTTCATTTCATATAGCCCAGATTCACATAACACAGCACTTTTTCAAACCTAACTACCTTGTAAGATGGAGAATACATAAATTGGATACAGCTTTATACACTAAAAATGAAACTACTAAAGTTATTATAAAATGTATCTTCATTAAAGTTTGTTTTATATCTTATTAAAATTGTTTATAGTCAATCAATAATACATTTTTAAATTACTATAATTAATACAAAATTTAGTTCCTTCACTTCCATAGTAATAAAACTGTGATCTGATGATGAACAGTTTTAAGTTCAAAACTCTAGAATGTTAATTTTTGTACATTATTACTCATAAAAAGCATTTTCTATTTAGTTTTTGTATTTTGGAGTTAAAACATTTCTATTCATAATTAATGCAGAAGCAGTTGATTAAAATAAAAATACATAACATTTATTTTTTTACAAATATATAATATTATATTTTAACATTTACTATTAATTGTAATGATACAATAATTTATAGTTTAATTCAGCTTACCTTAAATTTATTACCAAACAATTTTTTCTTCAAAATCTTTTTCAGAGATTGTGATGGAGAATTTATTCCATTAATAACTGAATTATGATTGTTAAACTAATTAAAAAAAAAGAAACAATAATTTAGTAACTCAAATCAATAAGAAATTAATAAATTTTAAAGATTTTAATTTCATGTTTTTACATAAAAATTTTGAATTCACAATGCATGTTTAAAAATTTTTATTTAATTTTAATATAGTAAATTTTATATAAAGTTTAAATTTATTATTGTCCATATATTTATTGTATTTGAAAATATTAAAAATTACTACGGTTTATATTTAAATGAACTTTGAATAAAACAATATTCCTGAATAAATAAACTCAATATTCAATATCTAATAATATACAATATGTATATTATTGTGTACAATAATATATGTATACAATAATATATATACAATATGTAAAAAACCAAAATAGCCTTATAATTTTAATGCATTAAATATTAAAGAAAATTGGTACATTTTGAAGTATTTAATATTAATTTACATTTATATAAGCAACTGTAACTATCAAACTAAAGTAAAAATAAAAATGTTTTTATAATAATGATTTTAAAATTAAAATTGAAAAATCCATAATTGTTAATAAATTATTAAACACTAAAAAAATAATGGAAACAATTGAGTAACCTACCGACCTGGTTAATATAAATTTTAAACATGTGTAAAGAAACAGGCTATACATACATAAAAATAAATAAATATATTTTTTTCATTTTTGACTTTTTCTGTTCTGTAGGTGGAGAGTCTTTTCTCTCTGTCTGTAATGGGTTTGACAAAGCCCACAATGGAGTGACCAGGTGGTAAGAATAAAGCCCATATATCTGAAAGAGATCTCCCATGAAAAATTTTTGGGGTTGCTCACCAGATTCAATCCTGGATTCCCAGAACTATGGACTACTGCTGGTAACTGCCATCTGGCCATCCAACATAAGAATAAATATTTGAACTATCCGGTTGCATACATATTAAAATATGCAATTTCTTTCAAATATTTTTGTAATTTATAATAATTATAATAATTTATTAAATTCTGAATAAACTTATATATCTGATTTTTATCAAATCATTTTATAAGCTGATTTGAAAATTTAGGTTACAAAATAACTTGATAGCTAGATGACTCAAGACTTTATTGTAGCATATTTCTATGCATTTGGAGCTAGAACTATTTTAAGATGACCAAGACAAAACCTTTCTCACTTGTTTCTAGCCGTTTATAAACGAGTACAAACGTTTTCAGCCTTCTTAATAGGCCTTCTTCAGGTACACTTACTGACGCTCTAACAGACTACAGCGTACCTGAAGAAGGCCGAAAACATTCGTACTTATATATATACAGCTAGAAATAGGTGAGAAAGATTTTGTCTTGGTCATCTTAAAACGTATTATACATCATATGCATTTCAGGCTATTGTGACTTTATAGCTCCTCCTCCGTGCTATTGGAAACAAGGATATGATTATAAGACTTGACATTGTTGTAATTATTTATTAAGATTTTTACAATATGATTTGTATACTTACTTACATGTATTGGAAAAAGAAAAACGATTTGAAACTCTGTTATATATTCAACATTTTCCATATAAATACAATTATAAAATCTTAAAAAAATTTTTAACAAATGGATTAAAAAAACCATTACATCTATAACATACATCAAAAAACACAAAAATACTCCAATCTTCAAGTACAATAATCAATAAATCATACTTTATACTTGTTACATCCAGTTTAAGTTACTGTAATTTTAGCTTTTATACACAAGCTGCAAAGGTGATGGCAACTACAAATCAGCTTGCTCATATGGTTGGAGTACTGTACAAGTGCAATATAACTGTATAATACAAATTTAAATTATATTGATAAAAAAATAGAACATACAATATTTACATTGTAACACCTACTCATATAGGTTTACAAGTATATTAAAAGTTTTTTGTAATGTTCACACAAGTACAGTACATAGATTAAAAAAAATAATAATGTATAATACATTTTAAATATGCTACAATAAAGTCTTGAGTCATCTAGCTTAGTGTTTAATAGCTGTGAGAAAAATCAACTGATTTGGATTGAAATGATTTTTCATATACATCAATATACTTTGGACTTTGTTTATTAATAGGACTTATTACACTGGTGTAGTTTCTGTTTAGCAAATTGGGGAGATTCTAGTCAGAAATAATAAGTCCTATTAATAAACAAAGTCCAAAGTAGACAAGGATATAATCAAACATCAATAAAAGTAAAGGCATAGAGGCAAAAAAGAATTAAAATCTTAAATAAATTTATTGCTTACATTGTAACACCTACTCATATAGGTTTACAAGTATATTAAAAGTTTTTTGTAATGTTCACACAAGTACAGTACATAGATTAAAAAAAATAATTTTGTTTTCATTTTTAATGAACTCATGATGTGTTTCTGTTTGAATTCAACAAAAATTTAAAACTACTGTTATTTGCAAAATTATGTCTACTCTACCATAGCTTCCTATATATTTACATTGCACAGTTTTTTTATTTATTTCATATGTTCATTATTTAACATGCTTTTTACAATTTAAAATATGGAAGAAACTAAGTACATTCACTCCCATCCTGTCCCATTTACATATATATTTTAAAATGTTTCGGCTTATCACCAATGAATTTTAAAACCATTTTACATAATTTTCAGAGGCATAGCCTCAATAAAAAGGTTGTCTGAGAGGAAAGACTGTTTTTTGCTGATGATTGGACAGGAAGAGAGTGAATATAACTTAGCTTCTTCCATTTTTAAATTGTAAAATATACTGTCTGCCATTTTAAACATACTTTTTATTGATTTTATTATAACTTGAAATATAATAAGAGTCAATTTGATATAATGTAAATATTTTTTTTTTACAAATAATAACAAAATAATATTATTTTAAAATACATGAAATATGAAGATCTTGATGTAAGATTCTTATGAAACAGTATTAAAAAAGTACAAAATAGATTACAATTTTAAATTTATTAATTTGAATCTTATATAAAAAGTGATACTGTTTCAGAATTTCAGTGGGAAGAAAGTTTTACTGAAAATATGAAAATAAAATTTCAATAAAAATAAAAAATTATTGCTACAGAAATAAACTTGAATTGTCATTATATTTATTTATTGAATCTCAAATAGAGAAGCTAGATGACCTATCAGACTACAACTTTGCAAATTAATTATACAAGTATTACACAAATAATCTGGACTAAAAGTAGGTATTGGTTAAGCCCCATTCTTTAGCCAAGTTTTTATCCAATATATTTGTCTTCAGCATTTGATTATAACTATAATTTGGGCTTAGGTTCTTTGTAATTTTATATAAGTTATATACACCATGCCAAGGTGCTTAGAAAAACAAAAAGAACTGTTAATTGAATGTTCTTAGTGCATTCTTTAAAAGAAGCAGTGTATTTTCTTAATACCATAGAAGACCATAGACCTAAGATCATTCTCAACTGACTTAGTGAGTGACTATATATCTCATAAACTAATTGGCCAAAAGCAAAGATCAGATAGAGATCTAGTTAGTATAACTGGCCACACATCTGCATGGTAAACAGAAGTTGCAGGTTAAAGTCCTGCTTTGGATCAATCTTTTTTTCTAGAATATTCTAAGTGAAATTTATTTATTTTTAATTATAAAATTAAATACAAGATGGCAGTTTAACTGCCTACCTTTAGTCCAAATTATACACATCTGTATAATTAATTAGTCAAGTTCTAGCAAGACAGGTCATCTAGCTTCATTGTTTAAAGTACACATTTCTTTATACAGTATTTATATGACTTTCATAATACATAGAAACTATTGGAAAAATTTCATCATCTACACAAACAAGAACACACTAACGAAATTTTATTACATGTAAAAAGTTATTAGGGATGAAGAAAACTATTAAACAGTGTAGAGTGAATATTTGTTTACAAATATTTATATATTTATGTATATAAATTATACTTCCTACATTTCACATAATTGTCATTTTTTTTTATTGAAAATATTTTATTTTAGTTTAAGTATATTTATTTTTTAAAACTGGCAATGTATTCAGTGATAATTCCACTCTGTTTATTTTCAAATAAAAGTATCTGTCTAAACAAACTTCTGTATTTCAAAATATTTAAAAAAATTAAATTCCTGTTTGGTCATTGTAATCAACTTTATTGATGTATTAACAAATGATATAAATTCATTATAAAGAACAGTTAATATTCAAGATTGTTTTTTGTTCATTTTGATATTAAAGACTGAAATAATAATTTAAAAATTTATGGAATTAAAATAGTAACATATAATTACACGTGTTCAAGAACATTTATGGCATCTGTTGAACATTACAATTAACTCATGCAAAAAAATTATAAATACAGTTCTTTAGAATTAATATATATGTGATATCTTTCCATTCCATTTGTTAAAATAAAATCAGTAAATTATTTTTAATACAAATAAAATATTAAACTGTTTCAACTAGAATGTGAAAAGACTAATATAAGTATATTTATTAGAATAAACATACAGTAAACCTGTTTAATGATCAGATAACAAAATTAATGTAATTGTAAAACATTAATAATTCAACAATTTATTTATCTAAACAGTAGATCATTATAAAAATAAATATGCTAAACTTACTGATTTAAATAAAAATTGTTTATATAATACTANTTAATATTCAAGTGTAATATAAAAATTCCTTGCCAATTTAAAGTTTTTCAAAAATGAATAATTTTATTTGAAAATATTTTTTTTATTCTTGATATGTTAACTTTCCAAACTACCAATATTAATATTAAAATTAGTTATAAAAATTTTATAATAGTTCTAAACTGTTTTCATTAAAATTAGTAAACTTATTAGAAACAAAAAATTTATATATCTATATATATAATCGAGACGAGTTGATAATAATAATAAGCACAGAGCCCAAACGGTTAAGAGTTGGAAGCTGAAATTTAGTACACAGTTACGGTACGTCACGAAAACGCACACTAAGAAGGGATTTTTCGAAATGCCCCCCTGGGGGAGAGGGACAGGATTAAGCTTAACACTTCCATCAACAATAGAAGTGTTAAGTAAGTAACAATGAAAGTGTTAACAATGGAAGTGTCAACAATGGACGTGTTACGTAACAATGGAATTGTTAAGAGAAAGCAACATTTTAAGAGAAAGTGCAGTTGGTTTTCGTTTTTGAAGATATTTTTAGACCCATGTAAAATTTCTCTAATTAGTCTGGAAACGGAGGATCCAATTCTTGCATTCTGTGAAAACGGGTAAGGTTGACTATAACGTAATAATCTTAATATTCACTATCATTACTTTTGCCCAAGCAATGCCGGGCCCACCTGCTAGTATATATATAATAATAATATATACATGTACACTATCATCAAATAATTAGTTTTCATTTAAACAATTTAACTAATTTGAAATAATAAATTAAAATGTGAAAAAAATATGAAAGCAAGAAAGAAAGAGAAAATCAACAAAATAAAACAGTTATCCCTCTAACAACATTGTTTGAGAATTTAGGAAATCCCACAAATAACAGTGTTCTTAGAACATAGTTTCACTCTAACACAGTTTGAGAATTGGAGACAGCCCTGTACAAAATGTCATAATTTTTAAGTGCAAATACCATCATTCAATATTTTTTTATTCAAGTAAGCATGCATGTTGCTTCATAATTGCCCATGGTTTTTAAAATGTTGAAATTTTTAATGTTGTTTTGCACGTTTTGTCCTGTTTTCTGTAATGAGAACTGATTGTACAACTTTTCCTCTTTCTTGTCCTAGCTTTCCTTTAAACTAGGTATCACTGATGTTGGAAATAGTGCTCTAAATAAACCGAAAATACTGACACTGTGTTTTGTTTTTATAGATTAAATTAAAAGTTACTACAAAAAAAAAAAATTAAATTTTTAAAGATCTCTTAGGCAAACACATGCAAATGAAAATGAAAAAAGTAGAGAAAAATTAAGATGTTGCTGATACTTCAGATTAAGGTCAACATGAAAGCTCAGATGAAAGCTTATGATATTTCGTCAAAAAGAAAATGTCCTCGTTTAACAGTTTTTAGCAGTGAAGGAAAATTAATATATACATGCAAATATATACATAATTTTGATTGTGATTATTAATTAATTATTGACTGCTTTAATAAACATATTTCTCTTAATTACAAAAAAGAATAGTATACTTTTGATATAAGGAAGAAAGTGTATACGTAGTCTTTCTTCCTTATAATATATTTGGCATCTTACGTGAGCTTATAAAGTTTTACAATTTATACTTTTGATAACTTTTGAAACCTAACCCTATGTTTTGTATTAGTCCTTCATTTCATATAGCCCAGATTCACATAACACAGCACTTTTTCAAACCTAACTACCTTGTAAGATGGAGAATACATAAATTGGATACAGCTTTATACACTAAAAATGAAACTACTAAAGTTATTATAAAATGTATCTTCATTAAAGTTTGTTTTATATCTTATTAAAATTGTTTATAGTCAATCAATAATACATTTTTAAATTACTATAATTAATACAAAATTTAGTTCCTTCACTTCCATAGTAATAAAACTGTGATCTGATGATGAACAGTTTTAAGTTCAAAACTCTAGAATGTTAATTTTTGTACATTATTACTCATAAAAAGCATTTTCTATTTAGTTTTTGTATTTTGGAGTTAAAACATTTCTATTCATAATTAATGCAGAAGCAGTTGATTAAAATAAAAATACATAACATTTATTTTTTTACAAATATATAATATTATATTTTAACATTTACTATTAATTGTAATGATACAATAATTTATAGTTTAATTCAGCTTACCTTAAATTTATTACCAAACAATTTTTTCTTCAAAATCTTTTTCAGAGATTGTGATGGAGAATTTATTCCATTAATAACTGAATTATGATTGTTAAACTAATTAAAAAAAAAGAAACAATAATTTAGTAACTCAAATCAATAAGAAATTAATAAATTTTAAAGATTTTAATTTCATGTTTTTACATAAAAATTTTGAATTCACAATGCATGTTTAAAAATTTTTATTTAATTTTAATATAGTAAATTTTATATAAAGTTTAAATTTATTATTGTCCATATATTTATTGTATTTGAAAATATTAAAAATTACTACGGTTTATATTTAAATGAACTTTGAATAAAACAATATTCCTGAATAAATAAACTCAATATTCAATATCTAATAATATACAATATGTATATTATTGTGTACAATAATATATGTATACAATAATATATATACAATATGTAAAAAACCAAAATAGCCTTATAATTTTAATGCATTAAATATTAAAGAAAATTGGTACATTTTGAAGTATTTAATATTAATTTACATTTATATAAGCAACTGTAACTATCAAACTAAAGTAAAAATAAAAATGTTTTTATAATAATGATTTTAAAATTAAAATTGAAAAATCCATAATTGTTAATAAATTATTAAACACTAAAAAAATAATGGAAACAATTGAGTAACCTACCGACCTGGTTAATATAAATTTTAAACATGTGTAAAGAAACAGGCTATACATACATAAAAATAAATAAATATATTTTTTTCATTTTTGACTTTTTCTGTTCTGTAGGTGGAGAGTCTTTTCTCTCTGTCTGTAATGGGTTTGACAAAGCCCACAATGGAGTGACCAGGTGGTAAGAATAAAGCCCATATATCTGAAAGAGATCTCCCATGAAAAATTTTTGGGGTTGCTCACCAGATTCAATCCTGGATTCCCAGAACTATGGACTACTGCTGGTAACTGCCATCTGGCCATCCAACATAAGAATAAATATTTGAACTATCCGGTTGCATACATATTAAAATATGCAATTTCTTTCAAATATTTTTGTAATTTATAATAATTATAATAATTTATTAAATTCTGAATAAACTTATATATCTGATTTTTATCAAATCATTTTATAAGCTGATTTGAAAATTTAGGTTACAAAATAACTTGATAGCTAGATGACTCAAGACTTTATTGTAGCATATTTCTATGCATTTGGAGCTAGAACTATTTTAAGATGACCAAGACAAAACCTTTCTCACTTGTTTCTAGCCGTTTATAAACGAGTACAAACGTTTTCAGCCTTCTTAATAGGCCTTCTTCAGGTACACTTACTGACGCTCTAACAGACTACAGCGTACCTGAAGAAGGCCGAAAACATTCGTACTTATATATATACAGCTAGAAATAGGTGAGAAAGATTTTGTCTTGGTCATCTTAAAACGTATTATACATCATATGCATTTCAGGCTATTGTGACTTTATAGCTCCTCCTCCGTGCTATTGGAAACAAGGATATGATTATAAGACTTGACATTGTTGTAATTATTTATTAAGATTTTTACAATATGATTTGTATACTTACTTACATGTATTGGAAAAAGAAAAACGATTTGAAACTCTGTTATATATTCAACATTTTCCATATAAATACAATTATAAAATCTTAAAAAAATTTTTAACAAATGGATTAAAAAAACCATTACATCTATAACATACATCAAAAAACACAAAAATACTCCAATCTTCAAGTACAATAATCAATAAATCATACTTTATACTTGTTACATCCAGTTTAAGTTACTGTAATTTTAGCTTTTATACACAAGCTGCAAAGGTGATGGCAACTACAAATCAGCTTGCTCATATGGTTGGAGTACTGTACAAGTGCAATATAACTGTATAATACAAATTTAAATTATATTGATAAAAAAATAGAACATACAATATTTACATTGTAACACCTACTCATATAGGTTTACAAGTATATTAAAAGTTTTTTGTAATGTTCACACAAGTACAGTACATAGATTAAAAAAAATAATAATGTATAATACATTTTAAATATGCTACAATAAAGTCTTGAGTCATCTAGCTTAGTGTTTAATAGCTGTGAGAAAAATCAACTGATTTGGATTGAAATGATTTTTCATATACATCAATATACTTTGGACTTTGTTTATTAATAGGACTTATTACACTGGTGTAGTTTCTGTTTAGCAAATTGAGGAGATTCTAGTCAGAAATAATAAGTCCTATTAATAAACAAAGTCCAAAGTAGACAAGGATATAATCAAACATCAATAAAAGTAAAGGCATAGAGGCAAAAAAGAATTAAAATCTTAAATAAATTTATTGCTATTTGAAGCAACAGTGCATCCAATCATTTGAAATTATTTCATTTAATTTATTTATATAAAATAAAAAAAATAATTTTGTTTCAATTTTTAATGTACTCATGATGTGTTTCTGTTTGAATTCAACAAAAATTTAAAACTACTGTTATTTGCAAAATTATGTCTACTCTACCATAGCTTCCTATATATTTACATTGCACAGTTTTTTTATTTATTTCATATGTTCATTATTTAACATGCTTTTTACAATTTAAAATATGGAAGAAACTAAGTACATTCACTCCCATCCTGTCCCATTTACATATATATTTTAAAATGTTTCGGCTTATCACCAATGAATTTTAAAACCATTTTACATAATTTTCAGTGGCATAGCCTCAATAAAAAGGTTGTCTGAGAGGAAAGACTGTTTTTTGCTGATGATTGGACAGGAAGAGAGTGAATATAACTTAGCTTCTTCCATTTTTAAATTGTAAAATATACTGTCTGCCATTTTAAACATACTTTTTATTGATTTTATTATAACTTGAAATATAATAAGAGTCAATTTGATATAATGTAAATATTTTTTTTTTACAAATAATAACAAAATAATATTATTTTAAAGAACTTTTTTTTATGTATGTGAAAATTAAAAGATGATTTACTAAGATCTGTTTTTTTTAATTCTTTCCACTCTGTGGGTACTGAGAGGTCTTTTTTCAATTTGGCCAGGCCCACAATGGGACAGCTGGTTGGCATAGATAAACCCAACAAATCCAGGACAGACCACCTCCAAAATACCCCTGGAATATTTCAATCTGCTTGGATTCAATTACAGATTCCCAGAGCTGTAAGCTGGTTCCTTAACTGCCTCAGCAATTGTGTTTATTACTGTAATAAAAACGTATTGGAATAGTTCTTTTAAACTATGCTCTTGCAAGAGGGCTGTTGTCATTTGGTATGACTTTCATTGACATATAGCAGCAATCCATATGTCATTTGTCTGTTTTTGTTTGCAAATAAATTGTAAATGTGCAAATAATTGTAAATATTTTAATTGCAAATAAGTGTGTAAAGAATTTTTGCACCAGCAATTTTTCAAAATGTTAAGTATAATTAAGCAANAATAAAAAGTAAAAACAAAATCCATTACTGTGTGAAAAACTGAAAATTTTTTGACATATGAAGTTTGTAAAGATAAAAATTATAATCAGCTAAGATGATGCAACATATCAATTTTTATTCAGATCTAACAAGTCCTTCATGGTGCGTTATTTTTTTTGTCGTCCAGTGTATAATACTAAATAACTCCATAACAAAATGCATCATGTAAATTGTAATTAATATGCTTTTTTTATTCAGTCAACTATAAAATTTAATTTCTTATGTATAAAATCATTAAGTACCCCTTAGTATATTACCTGTTTCAAAAATTTCTTTTTTTTTGCAGAATCAGGCATACTTTGTACATAAGCATATAAGTCCGCCACAGCATATTTAGTATATTCAGCAGAATCATTTTCTGTTGATGTCTTTCTGTTACAGAATACAACTTCTGTTTGTACAGATGTAGGCTGTAATATTATTATTAGATAATTAATTTTATAATTCACTTAAAAAAGCAAATGTATAATATATATATAAAAAAAAAAAAAAAAAAAAAGAGAATATGAAAGCCTAAAGTTTTAAGCTAATAAGCTTTTAGTGATTAAATGCAGCAATTTTTATATGCCAACTTATCATTTTAATAAATATTTTTTATAAAGTTGTGAGAGACCATAGTTCTGATTCATTAATTAAGTCTGACGATGCACTAGAACCTTGTAAACATATTTATTTCTTGACACAAAAAACACATTTAACATAGAAGAATGACACCCTCAACCATCAACCACAGAGTCTGCCTTCTCTACCAATCCACTAGATAGCTTCTTCTCCTCCCCGCACCCAAAATTCCTCTCTCCCTGAAAACATCATCTTTCAGCACCTCCTGTGCCAACCTGTTTTCTCCTGTTCCTGGAAACATTTTTTTGTTTTTTATAAGGGGTGAAGGTGTTGGAATTTGACAAAAGTGAAGCCATTTTTTTTGTATTTTTGTTATTTCAAACCAACTCTTCAAACTAGAAATGACAATTTCTATTATAAATATTTAACATTAAATCCAAAATACAGTATATGCATAAAATATATTTTGGATTTTCTCAAAGAAATTATTTTGTTTAATTTTCATAATTCATAGAAATGGTTTCTAATCCTGAAATCAAAAGAAAATTCCAGATTGCATTCAATAAACAAGAAAAATATTTCAACTTTATACAATATGATGACATAAAAATTCATTTATATATCAAATGCAAATTATTTTTACAAATATATATCATAGTCAATAATTCATAATTCAATGAAAATGCTTCGAATTTCATTTAAATTCTTCCTTGAAACTAATTTTACTTGACTTTTCAAAATCAAGAAATTTTACAGGTGACTGAAAGAAAGGAAATGATGAAAGGAAAAACTAAAAATACAAAATAGAAAAACAGTAGAGCCTCGATTATCCGATCCCCGATTAACCGACACCTCGGTTAACCGACCGTCCTAGTCGGCAAATTTCAAATGTCCGCTAGTGATGTGGCGCTACAATATTTGGCTATGTCTTGGCTACTTTAATATTATTTTTACGTGTTTTAGCTGGCAACACTCATTTGACCATGAAAGGGAGCCAGTATTTAAATGAGGCTTAATTTTCTAATTTTTAACAATACAATAGCAACGATTATTATTTTAAAAATTTTTGTTAGGCTTAACATTGATGAAAATTCAACACGAAGTAGGTTAATAGCGATATACTAATATACTAATTACATGGGATATAATAATATACTACACTAATAATGGATTTTTTCATACTTTTCGGTTATCCGACT